TAAAATCAATCTGGCACTAGGATTCGATATTATTTTTTTTTAAATATTGGTTCCAAACCATCTATACAAAATTTACAACGTAACACATACGTTTTATAAAAAATTAAAATATTAAAATTTATACATTCACAAAATAATAATTATCTATTATTTTTGTTGAAGCTGTTATAAATATGTTTAAAATTTTAATCAAATCATTGAGAAAATAATTATAAATAATAAATATTGTTTACAACTTTAGTTTCATTTGTTGTTTTTTATAGTAAAAATAGGCATAAAGTATACAATTATAAATCCTGATATTTATTTAATAACTTTCAAACACCATTTTTTTATAAAGGGAATAAAAAGTTCCAATAATAAACATGATATGTTTACCATTGATATTATTATTATTATTTATTTTCCCAACTATCTCAGCTCCATATTCATATCTTTAATACTAGCCACAAGTGAATAAAAATTGATCAATTTTTTAAAATTTATTTCAAATATATCACCAATATTTGACTAATCTTTTCTTTCATATATTCAATTTATTTCCATCTTTTACCCTTATGAGAAACAACTTTTTTTACCAGATATTGGTTTTCGTCTTCTGGCTCGTGGTGAATCATTGTTAGAATCCTCATCTGTCACCAAGATTCTGCAAAACTCGACGATTGGACTAAATCTTTCGAAATTATTTTGTATGCTATAAGTTCGATTATTGCATTGCTAGCTTCATTTCTTGATGTAATAGTCTCGTCGTCAGAAGCAAGCAGTAGATGAATCTTCATGGTTTCTATTAGAAGTCATAAGACTGTCTTGCGATATAGCTGTATTAAAGTTTGTTTTATATTTTCCAAATTATGGTTTTTTTCAAGCTTCTTCCTGGTTGCATCGGAGGTTGATGAGGTCACCAATGACTACTATTTCATTTACAGGTTCTTGACGAGAATTCTTAGGCTGTTTTTTCAGCTTCTGACTTTTCATTTCACTGAGAGTGTTCATAAACCTAGGTCTATTAATCCATCAGGAGATTGTGGTTTAGAAATAGTCCTTTTTATTGGGCTTAGAATATTGTCTATTTTCCTGATCAGAGCCGATAATTTGATTCCATCTTGACCACTCGGCTTGTGCTAGTTTAATTAAATCATCATTTGATGTTTCATTATGCTTTTGATATATGGCATCAGACTCTGGTGATCTTTTGTGGTTTTCTGTTTCTCTTCTGACTGCACTGGTTGATGATTAATGATATTTCACTTGCATTGCTGTTGAACTCTGATTCCTGGAAGATATAATGGAATTGGGAGAGAAGGCAATTTTTAGTTTATACAGGGGAAAATAATAAGAACAAATTTATTTTTACTATGAATTGCACAATGCTTTGATCTGAACTAATCACGTGCGCCCAATATATTTTAACCAATCAAATTAAAAGGTTCTTATTTCTAGGTGAAGTTGTGCTCTTAGATACTTAGATATTTTCTCATGACAACATACTTTAACATCATTGAATTGGTGTAGACATGCAAGTAAACTCAGCACTCCTAAAATTGCACTATTGAGTATAATTAACAACTTTGGTGCCAGTTTTTATGTAGTTGTAGTAGTACCCTTACATATCAGAATTACCATACAATATCGTTTCTTTTGTTTATAAAATGTTCTGATCTATTTAGGACAACTTGTTATGATTTTGCCAACTTTTTTTGTTAATTTATAACATAAGAGATACCTTATATTTCTTTGAACAGTGTAAGTCCAATGACATTAGAATCCGCATTTCTATCATATTTGCACACGTAGACGCTGGTACTGAATCCATAAGCGCAAAATGCTGCTGCATGACCCTTGATAAAGAAAAATATTATATAGTGATATAATTATACATAAAATAATTATAAACAAAAATGTTTTATCAATAAGTTACGTACAAATGACTATAGGCATACATCGCATCCAATATGCTACATATTGGCTAAAGTGATTTCCGTAAAGAGCAGTACCTATTTTCTAAATTATGCCAACAATTTGAATATTTATACAACTGCTGGCTTTTTTTATGATGTACCTTAAAAACTGGTTTCTATTAAACAATGTTACCTTCGGATGATAATCTACAGCTGCCATGGCGGTGATAGGTTCATCATTCTCTTCTTGGTCTGCATGTTGCACTGGTATCCAGGGAAATTTGTAAACTGCTATTCGATGGCCACTATCGGTGTCCCAGACGGTCACCAAACCATCCTCACTGCCACCTAACACCAAATTGCCGCAAGGAGAAAAACATGCCGATGTTTGTATTCTAGAAAGGTAACAAACGTACTAGGTAAGGACAAATAATAGAAAGTGGCACTATATGTAAATAAAAGAAAGTTGATGTTTTTACTACTTTACCTAAAATTTGTAGCTCCTTTCAATAAACGGACAACAGTAGCTCTTTCTACATGTATAATCCGCAGTATATTATCTCGAACATGAACCAGAAGACGTTCTCCGGATGGATGCAAACAAATACGGTTTACCACAGCATTGAGTTCCGGACACATATGTCTAGTTACAGTAATCAATATAGTTGAATAATGTAAAAATACTAATGTTATGCATTGTATAAATTAGAAAAAAATGTAATAATAAAAGATTGAGGGACCGATTCTGCCGCATGACAGACCAATGTTATGGCAAGGCTATGTTTCTAATTCTAATTCGTTTTAAATATTGGCAAAAGCCATGTGGTTGCTGTGCAGTCAGACGATTTTTTACCGATTTAACGATGTTAAATAACAGGATCTTTCTGACTCAGGTTCATAACATACGAGTGACGTTGCAGTTTATGTGTACAACGCCTGAATGTACGGCAAGTACATGACATTTTGGCAGAATTCAATATGGTTCAGTAGCATAATGTATAGAAGTGGGAGAGTAACATGGCCTTGCCATAACATTTGTCTGTTATGCGGCAGAATCGGTCTCTGAATTTGTCACTAGCATGTTACTAAAGTTCAAGTAGTAAGGTCAAACTAGCTAATTATAATAATTTGTCATACTATTTAATATAAGCGCGTAATATTTTAAAAATGTCTTCCATAGGAGCTTATAGTGTAGTATTATTTGTGTAATTTGTTTGCTAGTTAGATTTTATCGCATTTGTTTAGTCACCTGGTCCACTGCCAAAAGTCTTCAGAAGTTCTTGACCATTCGTTGATAATGCCTGCGCTATCACCGCTATATACAGTCCTGCTGTCCGATCCAAAACAAACAGCAGTGATGTATCCTGGTTTGATTCCACAAACAGTTTTAAATGAAATGTTGAGTAAAATAATACTATTTTCAGGAATTAATTTTACCTTTATGCTCATCTGGTAGTTCTTGATATAATTCATACGACGGCGGTTCAGAAAAAGACATAGGATCCAAAGCAAGTTGCCAAATTCGCACTATACGATCAAAGCAACCAGACACTGCCAGTCTAGAAGATACTGTCACGTCGCAGGCATATACAAAGGATGGATGTGATAGTAACTGTAATAAAAAAATATGTTAAAAATAATTTGCAAAGATTCCTCAATTTTAATCTTCTACACACCTGAGACAAATTTCCTTCAATCATATCCCATATGCAGACCGTTCTATCAGAAGATGCACTGAGTAGCTTCATGTCGTTGTGCGTCCAGCACATGTCGTACACCAGACCCTGATGGCCAGTAAGCTCAAAACGGAAAGTTCCTCCAGGAATATCGTATACCTAAAAAAACATAAAAAATATATAAACTGAGAAAAAAATCAAATAAATAAAATATGTTTTGATTTCAGTGGTAAAAAACTGCTTTGTTGGTTCATAATTTATATGCGACAAAGTCTTGTTTGGAATGCAAATAAGAGGACTTAAGGTTGAATAACCAATTAAATGACAAAAAAGGGTTAGGGTCAATACTTGAAAAAATCTATCAAAAATTGTCAAATATGTATTGTTATGATAATTAATATTCCTATTTGATAAATACAGTATATAAATAGAATTAGAATAAATTTTATATTACAAAAGTTTCTTATAAAATCAATGATCTGCAAATTATTCATTACATGAGGATAGGGGATAAACTATTCGTTTTAAATTGACATTGAGAAAAGTACGATTCTAAAAATATAATTTTATTACTTACATTTATATTGAAAGTATCAGCACATGCGCATGCCAATAAATCACCAGCATGGTTGAAGCGAATTGATAAACTGCCCTTGTCTAAGGTAGGCAATTTTATCAAACGACAATTAGGCAATTTACATACTTGACCTAAAGTTCTGGACCAGGAATAAGTCTACAACATGATAGGAAATAGTTATTTCTTTGATTTGTTACATTTTTAGTTTATTTGTAGTTAAGAATAGCAACAACAACAACACTCAAATTTTTTTTTTTTTTGAAGTCAAAAATGATATTAAAAATTAGATTAATAGAAGAAGTCAATTTACATCAGACAGAAATAAATTTCTATGAAAAATTTTGAAACCAAGAAGATATATTATTTAAAAAAATGTAATAAATTATTTCTACCCTTGGTTCTTCTTTTGCAATTTTCTGGTTCTTTCGTTTGTTAAAATCATTATGACTTTTGCTCCGTTCCTGCTGTTTTTCTTCAGATGCTGGTTTTAAATCCGACTTTTTTCTACGTTTGCTTTTGACGGTAAAATATAGTGTCCCTGGATATCTAAGAACAATTTTACGTACACGTTTGTCAAAAATTATTATCATTTATATATAAATTTCATACTATATATAACTAAAATTGTGCTCGTTCCTATTCTTACTTTTTTCTTCTGGTTGATGACCACCAATCAAACACATGTATTCCTTCAGTTTCTCTAACATCAGTTTTAGGTTTATAGAGTTGCAATTGCAATTTGTTATGAGTATTATTCATTCCATTAACACCGATTGGTTTTAAAAATGCCCATGACAAGCAATGTTCTACATCTAAAATAAATGCATTTCATTTATATTTACTTGCAAATAAAATTTAGCATGACTTACCTTGCGATCTTTTGAAACCAACTTTCATATCGAATATTTCAAAAAACAAATTGTGTTTTTGTCTTCTATGGTATCATAATCTATAGGAAATACAAAAAGTTCTTCCCATTTTGGAGTAATCCTGAAAGTTGTATTAAAATAAATATGATATTATATAGCTATAATTAATATTTTATAAATTTCTACTCACTCTTTACTCAAACAATTGAAATGCTGGGATTTCATAGGATCGTGTAAAGGGTTATTCATAGTTGTTTTATAAATTGATACTCTGACAAAAGGCCGCAATAAAAATCCCTTCGATAGTGATCGGCCTAACCAAGACATATTGTGAACGATGATACCTTAAAAATTGGGGTTATACAATTTTGTATGAATATAAAATGTAAACAATATCATTTATATTTACCTACAACTTTTTTGTAAGAGCGACCTTCAACAACTTCATCATCATCTTTTTCAGAATCCTTAGTTCCAAAATTTTACCACTTTTTCGAATCGGAGTTGAATCGGCACCAAGAAGTTCCCGTGTTTTTTCTACTTTTGCTTCGATGTTGAGGTCCAACACTTTTTGTCCTAGATCGAGAATTAAGTAGATCTTTGATATTTTCATCAGATTTTTCAAACAAATTTTCATGAGACGACGCCAAGGGTTGATTTTTGTTATCGCCTTTGCTGCTTGGAACATCCATTTGCTTTTGAGATCTGGATGATCTACTTTTAACTGATCTTTTACTCCTGGATTCATTTTTAGTTAGCTCGATTTTATTGTCATCAGACGAATTCTTTCTGCTATAAATTTGTCTTGTTTTTGGTACTGGTTTCTCTAATGGAAGCTCCATTGAATCGTTAACCATAAATGATTTTCGACGGGGAAGTGGTTTTGGTTTTTGAAGTTCATGCTCTTCCTCGGGTTCTGTGTCATGATTATCATCCACAAACGAGGCTGTAGGAATGTTGTTGGAATCTTTACGATTGATTTGAGATTGTTCATCTGAAGACGATTCATCATTGCTTTCGAAAGAACTACTATTATTTCTACTGTGTTTCAACACTGCTTTGTTGGACTTGGAGCGTGATGCAGAAATAATAGTAGACGGCTTTCTTGATGACGACGACTCAAAGAAGTCATTTGATTGAGATTTTTTGCTACTGTGAGATGGTGTTTTGTAACGAATGATGTCTCATTGTCATCGGTTGTTCGACTCTTTGATTTCTTCTGTTTAAATAATTCAAGTGTCGGTATCTCTTGATCTGGTGATTCATCTATTAAATTTTGCTGGGATGAAAATGCATTAGGATCTGATTGATCGCGAGTACTAAAAAGAAATATAGTATCAAAATATAAAATAAAGCTTTTACAATATTTGCCTGATTGTTTTATTACTTGCGCTTTAGGGAAGAAGTGGTGATGCTGGCTTTGGCAGCATCAGATTTTCTAACAGCTGATCGTAAAACAGCATCAAATCTGGCTTTAGTTTGACTAAGGAGGCTTATGCTTTCTTTTTCTTTTTTAGGAGATGAAGACATTTCGTTTTCTCGCATTACCAAAATCTACAAAACTAGTGTAATACGGCGAATATAAATTTCTTCAGAATGTGAATTTGTAGTAAAAAGTTGATGATAAGTAAATTAATTACCAACGTTTTTATCAGAAACTTTATAAACTTTTATACACATTAATTCCTATATTGAATTTTTTACGTTTTTTAAAATTATGTAAATAATTGTCTTTTTTAATACCAAGTTTTCTATTTTTATTTTCAAATTGCCAGCCTACACTTGTCACAAAACATTTTGAGCATTGCACATATATTTATTATTTATGCAAACTATTATTTATTTAATGGATTTTTTTAAGTATGACTTGTTTAATTAACGGACTTATTATTTAATTAAAGGTCTTTTCTATTAATTTATTATAATTTATATCAACATTTTTATTCGTCAGTATTTAATATTATGCCTTTCCACTTAATTACGCTTCACTCCACTTGGTTCGATATAAAATATTCCACGATACGTAACCTGTCCGTTGCTATGGAAACGGTTTTTCAAAACTTAGAAAATGCATTAGAAATGCATGTGTAGATAAAAAAAGTCGGTTAGGAGATAAAAGTAAATAATATAGATTACTATTTTCATTTATCAAAAAAAACTAGTGGTGTATGACATCGTTCCATTAGGCACATTGCTGGAACTTTCCGTACCGAAAACTGAAAATCAAAAAAAAACTTTAAAAAAATTCGGTTGTTGAAAAATTTTGAAATTTTTGAGAAAAATTTACTTTTTTGAAAAAACTGCTTTTTTAGTTTGCTTTTTTTGTATTTTGATTTTTTTTGAAAATTTTTAACATTTTTTTAAGCAATCGCGCTGCATAGCTGATTTGGAGTCGAAATATCAAAGCGCGTAGTCGTCAAACGTGTAAACATTGGTACGGAACCGATATAAATGTACACAAAATTTGTACTTATTATTATAATATTATAAAATATCTGATAATACTATTACATATGTCTAATAACCATTTTTGATAATGGCATTATTTTTTACTTTTTTATTGGATCTCCAGTTGTTCATTTTGTCAATATAAGTAAAATTTTTTTTTTGAATTATTTAAATCTAGGCTAGACCTGTCTTCGCCAAAAACTAATCAGCACGTTTCCTTATCAATACGAATCGAATGTTTTTTGAATTATTCAAATCGGTTGATCGGTGTTCCCGAAATCGTCGACGAAAATATGTATCCCAACACACACACACACACATACATACATTTTTTCTAATAATAAGGTATGCCAAAATGTTCAGAAACCTCTGAAATGTAAAGATATATGAAAATTTTCATTTTAGATTTTTTTGCGATTACTATAACTTACCCTGAAAGTGAAAAATATTGTTTTATTTCTTATCTCGACAAATTAGTTGCCCTATCAATATAAAGCAACTAGATTTATATTTATACCCTGAGATCCATTGTATAAGATATATATTATTAAATATTTCTTATAGAAATATAGAGTGTAAAATTTCTCTTTGAAATTTGTTTTCTCTTTTGTGTGATAATATGTTTTTAATTTTGGTCTCAAATGATTCGGAATGACTTGAAACTTCAAGAAACTAAAATTAGCAAGTTTGATTTTCTGACGAAAACTTTTATAATTATATTGATAATTAATAAATGAACCAAAATTAATAATAATATGGATAATTAATAAATAAATCAAAAAAATATGCGTCATTAATGTCAAAACTGACGTTTCTACTTACATGAAAATCAACTCTCCATCTACATTTTCAAAACAATTATAGAAATAATATTTATTTTTTGGACTAAATAATTTACTAGTTGAGCTGAAAATTTAGTTTCACGAAATAATATTGCAAGATCTCAGGTCATCGATCATAAACTATCAATTTTTATTAGAAAACAACTGAATTATTGTGACTGTTCAATTCATACTATATAGAATTTTATAAAAAATGATCCATAAAATTTGATAAATGTTTAAATAAAGAATATTGTAGAATATATTTTCATAAGAAGTGTTAGTTGTCTATATTTAAATTTTAAACGAAGATCATAATATTTTGTATTTTCTATTAATTAATTAATTTTATTTAAAGACCCTATCAGATCACAATATTGAACGGTTTAATGGATCCTGTTGAATTTCTTCGTATGAGAGTTCATTAATTTTTTCCCTCAAATCTTCTTTATTACAAATTTATTTTTGAACAACACTTAATACATAATTAAACAAATTTTAAAATACATAAGCGTTTATTAATAAATCAAGGGCTATTATTAAATTATGTTAACAATATATATCACATAACGCTATTATATAGAAACACATATCATTCCGTTTTATAATACAATATTTAAAATAATAACTTCAAATTTTTTTAAAATTAACCCCCATAATGACTTTGTAATATTTAACAAAATTTTGAGTTTCAATTTTTATTATAATTTAATCGACTTAAGCGCAACATTAACAATAAAATTGGTTATTTTTTCATATAAGCCAAATAAAATAATTTTAACGTTAATTAAAGCAAATTATAATATTTATATTATTTATTATTATAATTATTAATAAGTCGCTTATTAATAAGTACATTTAGTTATAACATTGACCTACAATAACAAAAAATATACTGCATAAAGCTATTAAAGATATCAATATATTAATAATGGTATTATTTATTATTTATTCAATTATGATTTTAGTAATACTTTCATGATAATTTATTCATTTTTTGTTGAGTGATTAGTAACTACTTATGAATAAAGCGAACACTAATTTGTTTGATAATGTAGGAGAAACATTTGGTATCTATTGATAATATTAAGGTCACATAATTAAAAAAATTGTTTATAGTCATTGTAAGAAATTTCTATATTTTTTCAACTATCTTATATAAAAAAAAATTACATTTAGTATAAAATTTTCAGCGTGTAATTTTTTATAGTTTCGGTATATATAACCCTATAAATTTATAAATATAGGTTTATGAATTGATTTATTGATAAGTATGATATTCGTTTCTTTAATAAAAAAATCGTTCTATTAAAAATACTTTTCTATGCATGAAATCGATTAAGAGACTCTAACATTTGTTAATTTTAAGCAATGAAATGTTTTAACTAAATTGAGGTAAGAGTTATTCTAATCTTATTTCTAATTTTTGATTGCAAAAGTTTTAAGTCGTACAAAGTTTGTATTATTTTCAAGATAAATATCAAAACTCCAAAAACAGTATATCATGAATATTTTCATAAAAGAATCACATACCTTTACATTCGAATAAAATATTTTCTTACCACTTTCTTACAAATCATGATAAAACCATATTCCTGGAATCCTCATATTAAATGAATCAGTTTATAAATATAAAATGATAAATTCGAGCGACGAAGAGTAGGTTTAATTCATTTTCTAAGTTTATTGTCCAGGAAAACTCACTTCACGTGCAGGTTGAGCATTTTCCACAATCCAGGCTGAACCGCTTTTGGCGTTTCTGAGAACGTGCAGTAGAGCTTTACCTACATCTTCTGGTCTGGTTTATAGAAATAAAATTCGTATAGCTCAAAGTTATAAAAATATTTATAAACACTATCACATAAATTGATGAAATGTATATATTTTCCAGTAAACACCATGTGATTTGACCTGAAATCCACAAGCGTGCCTTCAGCCAATGTGGAATCAATGTGGATTTCAGATTGCTACCGCCGCTCGGTGTTTGCTGGGTTATTATACATCTCATTTTAATTTATTTCAATTTTCTTCATTACTTATATTTAAGATAAAAATCATTGAACTTACTTCTGTTGAATTTGATTTGCGATATCAGCCTTCCATGCTGCCTCATAATCAGCAGACATAAGTTGTTTCTTAATATCACCTACCAGAGCGGTCGAAGTCCATCCTGGACATAGAGCTATCACTCGAACTCCTGTTCTTTCCACATGATATGCAGCCTGGGAAATAGAAAAAAATCGGATAAATTTCTTAGTATCCTTATTGTATTAATAGTGCTGTTAAACTAAGCAGGTTCAATGGTAAATTTATTTATTTATTTTATTTTGTACATGTGCTACATGCAACAAAGTACATGTAAAGACAATGCACTAAATCTGGTTTTAAAGTAATTAAACTAAAAGTGTGTATTCTTAGGCCAAAAATAACAGGTGTATTGTAAATGGCATTGTGCCTTAGGGCAAAATTGCCCAAACATTCCGCATTGCCAACCGACATTCAATCTTTCTTCATGAAACCTTTGTAAATTCGAATATATATATATATATATATATATATATATATATTCTTATATATAAAATTCTTCTGTACGGGTGTCTGATGGTATACTTCTCCTAAACGTTATTCGGATTTTAATAATTCTTTTTAGAATTTGTCAAAAAAATTTTTTAAGATTTAATGAACATTGAAAACAATTCAACTGTCACCTGCTAGAAATATCAATTCACTTGAAATTTTAATTAAGCTGAAATTATGAGCCTAGATAATATTAGAATATAATATACAAGAAAAATGTAATGCCTACATTATTATTGCCGAAAAGCAGCTGAGATGTGCCAGAAATTAAAATAATATAATATACAGTCAACAGTATATATTTGGCAGATGAAATTATATAATTTAGTTTAATAAATAACGCAATAAGTCCAAAATTCCACATACATTATTTTTTTAAACTTATGCATGTCGCATTTTGGTTTTCTTTACTAAATTATTTAACATTAAAAAAATGATTTTGTTTCATGTGACAAAAATTCATTTGTTTGGCATTGGATATGGAATATTTAGCGAGTTGATCTTAGATTGAAAAGTGCTCATATGAACTAGATTTTACAAATTAATTCACCTAAGATTACTCACCTACTTAAGATATTGTTTAAACAACAATATTTATTAAATTATTAGTAAGAAAAATGTACTTTAGAAAATATAATTGCCAAAAAGCAACTACTATATCGTTTGAGATTATGAAAATTATAGACTAAATTATTAAAGCAATTATGTCGTGTGGTAATATCAAGTGTGACATTGTTCTTTTACTATAAACACTATTTTTTCTGAATTTCTTATACTGCTTATAATAAGACCATAAATAAATCACAAAGGCAGGACATAAGATAGGACATTAAAAAGCATATGATAGGATATTAAAAACATTGGAAATTTTGAATTGTAGACGTGGGTACAGGACAACATCTGTCGGGTCATCTAGTATATATATTGCATATATTATATATACGTATACATTATCAATTATCATACCCCATATGATCGGCTTAATCCAACAACAGCATGCTGAGTAGCAGTATAAATTGGCGTTGAAACTTGAGGTCTAAAATAGGCTGATGAAGCAGTATTGACCAATATTCCACCCTGGTAACCTTGGTCCTTACCCAAAAATCTCAGTGCAAGTAGAGTACCACGAATAACACCATTCTAGAAATTATTCCAAATTTGAAATTAGTAAATTAAAAAGGAAACTCTTATCTCTTCCGTTATTATAAATTTTAAATAACTTACCAAGTTAACGTCCACTTGAAGCTCCCAAAACCTATCATTCATTATTCCTGCATTGTTAATCACTATGTCTAAATGTCCGAAGGTTGAAATTGTCATTTGAAATGATTCTACGAGAAAATTGTCATGTAATTATTTACTCCAAACTTTAAATTGATTATTGTTCTTATTATTAACATACCTTCGAATTGCGGATAATCGGTGACATCGCATTGACAAAATATAGCAGATTCTTGGCCGTAAATTTCTTTCAATTGTTCGACGAGTTCATCACCTGCATCCAGATCCAGATCGCAAATTGAAACCTTGAAATTAATAAATAATAATAAATAATATGCAATTAATCTACTGACAATTACTCAAAATCCAGAATATTAACATCATTGTGTTAAAGAATATTATAATAATATGAATCCATAGATAAAGAAGAATAAATAAAATTTGAGTCATAGTTAAAATCGTCGTTCTTAAAGAAGAAATCAAATAAAATAAGAATAATAAATATTAATTATGATTATAAAAATATTATTAATACATATAAAAATAAGACATTTTTTTAAAAATCTCTGTAGAGCAGAGGTGATTGAAAATTTCTCTTTTGAAACTTAATTTTTCATTTTTGAATATTTTCGTTTCGCAGGTATGATAAAGTTTCGGGAATATGATATAAATTAATATCAATACGTAAAAAGTGAATTATTTAAAACTTCAAATAATGAAAGAGTTTTTTAAAAAACATTTTTTTTATTTATTTATAACAAATCGTGAAAAAAAAACATCCTATATACCGGAAACGAGGAAATTAATTAAAAATGAAAAGTTGAATTAAAAAAAATTTTGGAAGAGGAGGCAGTTCATTTACATAGAATAAATAGTATTAGCTATTAAAAAAAAAACACACACACATATATATCTTATACATAAAATTCTTCTGTAAAGATGTATGTACACCTCCTAAACGATTATTCGGGTTTTGATAACTCTTTCTGAAGTTTGTTGAGGGAATTTTCTAGAATGTATGTGATTATAAAAATATAGTAATATTGTAGAAATAAATGGAAAAAACTGCAAAAAACAACATATAGTTGATTGACATTGAAAACATTGTGATACATTAGAACTGTCATTTCCCAAAAACGTCGATTCACTTGAAATTTGAATTTAGTTTAAGCGAGTCCAGACAATATTAGTATATAATATCCATATTCATGATTATGATGAATAAGAAAAATATAATATCTGCAATATTATTTCCGAAAAGCAGCTGAAATGTGCCAGAAATTAAAACAGTATAGGATACAATATATGTTTGGCAGTATAATATATAATTTAGTTTGAAGTCAAAAATTCATTTGTTTTATCATGATCTCAAATTGAACAGTAAAATATGAACTAGATTTTAAAAATTAATTCACCAAAGATTTTAACTAAAGTGATAATGTT